GGACTTGTTGTTGCCTTACCCCTAATTAGATTTTCACTGAGCAAGTTCAGTCTTATTAGTGTCTGCAAAAATAACGAGATCGACTTTTATCATGCTACTATCGGCTTTCGATACATTACGAAAAACTAAAAAAAAAAAAACATTTACATTGCATTGAATAGCGTTCCATTCCGCCACTTTATTTACGTCCAAGGTGGGACTTGGCAATGTTCAAACTCAATTAATCAGCTGCGCATTAGTCTAGACAGAATAAAATTCACGTAGCAAGCAATTCATATAAATATAATGATAATAAATAATTATTTTTCCCAAGAAACGTATGGAAAGCTACAACGGTTGGAGCATGCAAAACGAAAATCGCAATACTGCTTTGTCTGTTTAAACCTTTCTAATAAATTACAATTTGCTATCAACATCCATGTTTCTTAATTTTTAGAGTGTAATAATTACAAAGCCAAGGTCAAGGTAATAATATTACCTTCATATTTCCCATCATAGGACTTTTCTTAGTAATGGTAACCTTTATCATAATTTGGAAAAATGGTCGTAATTTATGCGCTTTATAAGCATTCGAATACGTTGGGATAGTTTTTCCACTGTGATCTTGCAATTGTTTGTTGGATTTTTAAGTTTAAGGAGCTCTTGAAGTGAAAATATGAATTTTTTCTATTCTTTGTTAGTTAGTTAAACAGGATAAAACTAGGTGTTTGGCAAAAAACAAATAACGTTAACTTTTCTTGATAACACTATCATTAAAAGAACAGAAGTTCTGAGTATTCCGTTGGTGGAGAAATAATCCTTCGAATCGGGCTTCTTCTTACTTCAGCAGAAGTTCTACAGAGAGCTGACACTCCATCTCGACGTCAATGGTGATTAATGAAATCAGTTAGAAGAGATTGATTCCCATCCACAACCCATCCACAAATGCACAAGAGAGTTTTTTAAACGACGACAGAATGCTTCGTGCAAGTTTAACCAAGGCAAATGTAGCTTTTTCAAGTGAGATGGTGAGCACAATTATGCAGTGGCGAAGGCATAGAGCTCAAAAATCAAAGACGTCAATGTTCATTGGTGAGCACTCATTAGCGATGCGTTAGTGACCTCAATTAGAGGCAAAATTTTGCTAGAAAAGAACATATATCCGCTCCCTACTGTTGCTGTGAAAGGGGTACGGTCGAAGTAGGCCTGTGAAAAGCCGAAGCAAAAGGTTATCTACAAAGGAAAGGAACTAGTCCTCATAGGCTTTAATACTACTTTTCTTGGGCAAGAAAAGTGGGTTTTGAATTATTATTTGTTAGAAGTTTTTCCGTGCCAGCCAAAAACGATATCGCGCTCTGTAATTCATGCGCTAGTCATAGCAGGTAGATTGTGCTATAAACTTCTAGCTAAGCCAGATGGCCTGACTTTCAAGTGCTATCATGAAGTTTGCTACAGAATTTTACTCTTTCTTACTAGGAGTGTGTCCTAAGCCACTAAATAAATTAATGAATAAATAAGCAGCTATAAGTTAATCCGAAAACGAAGATGATGTTGCTTGCGTAATCCTTGCGAATGACTCTTCAGATCTACATATGTCCTCATGCGAAAATAGTAGTGCCATACCTCTCAGACACACCCGTTTGAGCTAATGAAAGCATCTCTTCAAAGAGAGAAAAATAACGGGAAAAAATGGGCGAGTTCAATTCTCTTTC